GAATTCTGGGAGTTGAAGCCCGCAAGTCATGAAGGGGCCATAGTTCCCCCATGCTGGCTGAGGAATTCTGGGAGTTGAAGTCCTCAAGTCATGAAGGGGCCATAGTTCCCCCATGCTGGCTGAGGAATTCTGGGAGTTGAAGTCCACAAGTCATGAAGGGGCCATAGTTCCCCCATGCTGGCTGGGGAATTCTGGGAGTTGAAGTCCACAAGTCATCAAAGGGCCAAGTTTGAAGACCCCTACCTTAGGCACTTGGCAACTTGTCGTTTTAAGATTGTTGCACTGTCTTGCGGTCACGTGGTCTCATTTTACGAGCTTCCCACAAGCAAAGTCAATTGGGGAATCCAGATTTGCTTAACAACCATGTGAATCACTTAAAACACACACACACACACACACCACAATTTGTTTAACAATTGTGGTCGTTCAGTGAACCATCGTGACAAAGATAGCCATAACATCAGGTCTAGTCACGTGATGACTCGTTTAATGACCGCACTGCTTAGTGACTAAAATTCTGTACTACAGATAGTAGTACAGAACTACTCTCTGTGGTTCATCTCGATAACTCATTGAAAGAGATGGGGGAAAGTGACCTGTCGAATATTCATTACCAACGTACGATAAGTTGTTCAGAAGACCGGCTTGTGTGTGGGGGGGGAAACAACCCAATAATTTGGGGATTTTTGTGAATTAATGGTTGTTGTTTTTTTCTTTGACATCCTCGCTAGGTGCCTCCCGGGTGACTTCTCAGGTCTCGGAACCTTCTGGAACTGCTCGGTGGCCCTGTGGGAATCCCACGGGCTGCCTCCCTCCCACCCTGCCCAGTGGTCGTACGGGCAGTGTCCTGACGTGGACGAATGCCGGCTGGGCTTGGCCAACTGCCATCCCTTTGCCCGGTGCAAGAACACCCCGGATTCGTTTCAGTGTCACTGCAACCGAGGTTATGCTGGCGACGGGGTGGCTTTCTGCAACCAAACGTGAGTGGCTCCGGCTGTAGAAGGCTCCACGGGGGGAGGAAGGCCCTGAACGTGGCCAGTGCAAGAAGCAGAGACGGTGGCTGAGCTGAGGAGGACCCCGAAAGGGTCAAAGCGCCCACATGCTCTGGGGATGGGCGCTCGGCCTCTCCCGTTTGAGAGAGGCTCTCTCTGTGTGTGTGTGGATGTTGGCTTCCGCTTCCTGCCATCGCTGGAAGGAGGTTTTGTGCAAACGTGGTGCTAAGCGTTCCTTCCAGACTTCAAGTACTGGGAGAGTTGCTGATTGCGTTGTTCTGCTTTGGAGTTCCTACACAGAAGCTTAAGCAGAACAACGGTTGACGGTTTTGTGACATCAAATTGGTATTGATTCTTGGTGACCACGTGGCTAGATTTTCTTCAGGAACAGGACAGTTGAAAGGGCCTTAAACTGGCTATTTACTTTTTTCTGAAGAATAGGTCCTTCCTTCCTTCCTTCCTTCCTTCCTTCCTTCCTTCCTTCCTTCCATCCTTCCTTCCTTCCTTCCTTCCTTCCTTCCTTCCTTCCTTCCTTCCTTTTCCTTTCTCTCCTTCCTTCCTCTCCTCTTTTTCTCTTCTTTTCCTTTCCTTTCCTTTCCTTTCCTTTCCTTCCTTCCTTCCTTCCTTCCTTCCTTCCTTCCTTCCTTTTCCTTTCTCTCCTTCCTTCCTTTCTTCCTCTCTTTTCCCTCTTCTTTTCCTTTCCTTTCCTTTCCTTTCCTTTCCTTCCTTCCTTCCTTCCTTCCTTCCTTCCTTCCTTCCTTCTTTCTCCTTTCTCTCCTTCCCTTTCTTCCTCCCCTCTTTTCCCTCTTCCTTTCCTTTTCCTTCCTTCCTTTTCCTTCCTCTCCCTTTCTTTCTCCTTTCCTTTCCTTTCTTCCTCCTTTCCTTCCCTTCCCTTCCCTTCCCTTCCCTCCTTCCCTTCTTTTTCCTTTCTCTACTTCCTCCCTCCCTCCCCTCTTTTCCCTTTTCCTTCCTTCCCTTTCCCTCCCTCCCTCCTACTTTCCAGGTTTTCAGAGAGATTGACATTGATAGTTTTATCCACAAAAGCTTTAAAGCTGACATGTAGCAAGCTGTAAATCATTGAATCTTCGGACTTATTAAGTCCTTCGCCTGGCTGGCTTTAATCAGGATATGTGCATGTTAAGAAGATGCTTGTTGCAGGATACAGTTTGTAAGGGCACGCATGATTGTTCTAGGGAAGTAAAAAAACCAAAATGACAAAGGTTGCCCTTTCATCTAAAAACGAAGGGCGTTTTTATCCATTTGCTTGCCAACTCCTCTGTTTTCCTTTGGCATCTTGCTGGCTAGGGAATTCTGGGAGTTGAAGTTCACACGTCTCAAAGGTTGAGAAACATTGAGGTAGAGCCTGATGGGGATTCTCCTTTCCTCCTTCCCCCCTCCAGGTGCTACGATGAGTGCGCCCACGGGGAATGCAGCGGGGGCCCCAACTTCACCTGTTTGTGCGACTTAGGCTGGACCACCGAGCTCATCACCGGGGCGACCCCTCCGCCCAGCGGAGTGCAGTGCAACCTGGATTGCGGCTGCCACTTCCACAGCACCTGCAACCTCAAGGGCCCGGGTTTTTGCGATGAGTGTCAAAGTGAGTGTCAACCTCCCCAGCAATTCTTTCAGGAAGCCACGGCTGTGTTGTGTTTCCAGTTTTAGGGAGCACCGTCAATGGACACAGGAATTTAAAACAGGGTTGTGCAATTTAGAGCTGAAGACCCCCCCTCCCCACTCCTAGGCCTAATGGATAAGTTGCCTAAAAACATGATTTGGGGGTCTTCCGCCTCTCCGTTCACGTTTAACGAAAATTAAAATGAAGGACGGGGTTTTTCTCCTGGTCTGCATTTAGTGTGGTTTTCCCGTAGGGTTATACAAGTCTGTTCTGTCCCAGCCTATGTGAGTTCTTGTTAATTTACAAGGACAAACCCCTCTTTTAACAAGTAGGCTGGAAATGCAAGGAAAATAAACCTCTTTTATTAGTTAGGTACAGACCTGCAAAATG